GGTTTTCATTTGAATTTTTAAGTTTTAGTAATTTTTTAATGCTCTTTTTTTTATTCAAAAATGTTATTTTTACTAGATTTACTGAGAAACTCGATACTACAGAAATTGTTTTAATACAAAAACATAAATGTTGTACAACAAATAAAATTTGAATATTATAGTTTTTTTTGCATGACAGATGTGCATAATTGTCATTAAAATAATGTCAAAATGCAAAAATATTGTCCTCAAATATTTTTTATTGAGACACACAATACTACAGAGAAATTACTCTAAAACAAGAAGAAAAAACATAAGTACAACAAATAAAATTAGGACAATGTATTTTTTTGATACCACTGATATCAAAAAATTACTTTCTTTTTTTTTTTTTGGAAAATCTCAATTTATTTTTGATTCATGGGAAAGTGCTATCCATAAGCCCCTCCAGGCATTTTTTTACTTTCCCAACACTTTGGTTCTGTTCTAAAATTTCTTTAAGCATTACACTTGCATATTACGCGGGGAGATGAAAGAGCCGGTAATCTCTTGAAATCTATGAACAAGCAAAAACGTAGCTGAGAGTTTCTCAGGAAGCGGCTCCTGTGGCCTGCAGGCTAGGCTGCAAAAATAACCAACACATTTTCTTCCCACGTTCAACTATTCCCCAAAATCACAGGTTTTTCTCTACACCTCATGTGAAAGGACAGCCAATTAAGTGTAACCTGCATGTTTAGTCCAGTTGCTAGACTGCAAGGCTTTTACTGAGACATCAAACGGTAACAAATGGGCAATTGTGCCACATCAGAAAAAAACGCAGGTGAGGAGGTCAACACTTCCCTAACATTTGTTCACTGTAGTCCTCTGGAGTAATTGTATTTGTGTCTCTGTATCATGGGAAACTACACCTGGCCTCAGGCGGCTCTGTGCTTGTAAGGTAAAATGGCACATGCATGTGTTTGTGTGGCTGTGTTCAGACACAGATCTTCCAGATGGACCTGTTGCCTCCACACATGAGTCACAGACCCTCGCAGACGAGCCCATGTCACCCACAGGTGCTAGCAGGCATGTCTGTCTGCAGTGCAGGGCGGCTTTACGTGAGGATGACTAAAGTCTGGGCTGAGCTGGTATGTGTTTTATTATGCTTGTCTTATAATTTCACTCGCGGTGATGTCGTACCTCACAAGAGGCTGAGACATCAACAAACTCTAGGCTGAAAGAAAAGGAAATGCAGAAAGATCTCAGATCTCATAAAAAAAGCATTTCATCTAAAATCAAAAGAGAAAATTAATAAATTATATTTTGCATAAACAAAAATAAATAAATAAATAAATGTACCTGTTTTTAATAATAATAATCATAATAATAATAATAATAATAATAATGTTTAATTTGTGCCTTTCTAGAACTCAAGGACACTTTACAGTTGAAAAAAAAATTATTACAAAACAATTTTACATTGTGAGATTATTTGCATGACATGTATGCACATTTATCCTCTAGAATCTCATTCTCTCTTTTGTTTTTTTTTGTAATTTGCATTATTCTTAATTATGACTTGCATTACATTCCTATTAGTGTGATACATTATTACAGAAAAATATTTTAATACAAACAAAATGATATTTATTCATCTACATAAACATAGTACAACAAATACAATTTAAATAATATATTACAGGTTTTTTATTTTATTTTGCATTACAGGTCACAGCTGTGTATAATTGTCATTAAAATAATGTCAAAATTATGGCCCTAAATTATGTTTTTTTTTTCTAAAGTTTTATCCAGAAAAAGCGATACTACAGAAAAATTACTATAATACAAAAAAATTATGTATTTTTATTTATTTGCATAAATGTAACAAATAAAATTGTGATATGTTATAGGATTATATATTTTTTTTTTTTGCATTACAGATGTCAAAATGCAAAAATATGGTCCTAAAATATGTCCAAACATTGTTTTCATGAGATCTATCCATAAACGTGATACTCGCTTGATTACAGCTCAAAAATGCAGTGCAGTATATACTATATAATAAAAAAGTTTAATTTTATTTTAATTTTCAATTCTATTTTATGCAATAAAATAACTGAATTCATTAAATAACCTATTTTTGTTCTATCTATTGGCTGACATATTTATTAAAGACACAAAATGCTACATTTTAAGAGTTACAATAAGCACGGGCAGCATTTGGACAATTGCAGTAGAACTGAAAGTCAATACATCCAAACTCATATCACTTCTGTTCCCTGCTGTAATGAGGTATTGTTGCACGGCTGTATCCTCTTTTCACAACACCTGTATGAGAAAAACATACCTGCAGGCTATAAACTATGTAAGCGAAGCGACCAAATCCTGCATGGAGCCATATGTTATGACAGGCTTAGAGGGAGTTATATTACTGTGAGACAATGAAAACTGCAGTTCAAGTCTGTTTCATGGATCAGAGAAGTCCAGCAAAGACAGTAAAGTGACCTCTAATGAGTTAGCTAAAAATGCTAACTAGTTATAGTTTTGTGCAGAATATGAATAGAACATGCTTTCTGGTACAATATGATACTGTTTATGCAACTATCTCAGCAACTAGCTTTAGTGATGCTCGGTTTGTTCTTTTGAACCGGTTCTTTTGAGTGAACTGGATGAACCAATTCACTAAATCGGACTGAAACGTCTGAATCAGTTCGCGACTCGAGCCAGCATTGATCCACAAGTTACTCATTTAAAAATTTGACAGTCACTCTGACACAAAATAAGCCAATAAGTTCATAACACAAACGTTCCCATCATATATTTATGATAATTAAGTAAAATCCACAAATATAGGACCAGGTCAAAACAGCTGTAAAACGCAAAATGGCTATAAATGTGAGATTTTGCATTGTTTATGGACCATCTCAGCAACTTTATGATGTTCGGTTCGTAAAAGAATCGTTCTGTTGAACCGATTCCTTTTAGTGAATCGCCTGAAATAGAGTCGTACAAGTTTCACAATCTACTAACTTTCGTTTCGGACGTTCCCGACAGTCACTTCGACACGAAAAAAGCCCATATTCCAGAGTTCATATTACAATATCGGACTTCCCATCACCTAGTTTGCTGCTAAGGCATGTTCCAGTCATTTTGGTGTTGTTTGTTACAGCCTGCACTGAAAGCAGGGAAACCCACTATGTCCCCTCAAACACTTGTCATATTATTTCAAATATAATAAAATCTCAAAACAACGTGTTTTTCCAATATAACTTTATTATATCATAAAATAAAACGTCAAAGCAGGAAAATTCATCATTCAGTGAGAGCAAAGAGAGAGACTCAAGGACAGCAGACAAAGCACCTTTGAGACATAAACACTTACATTAGACTTCAGGAGCTCAGTTTGAGAGACAAAACAAAGTGTAAGGAACATTAGGAAACAGACAGCACACTGCATGAACTACATATTCTGTAAACTTCCACCCTTTAAAATAAAATGAAATAAATGAGTAAATTAAATACTCCCCAACTTTATCAATTGCATTTCTAAATATACAATACATAAAAAGTATTGTACATGATATAAACTATATAAAATAGCAAAATCATTCATCTGATTCATACTACGTTTTTCTTGGTGAGATTATTCCTCTGGAGTTTTCAGACCACATTTAATCTTAATGTTTATGGGCTAATTATTATTGCACTTAATGTTCAGAAATGAAAATAATAAATGCATTCACATCATTATGACATTATTCACTTCTAGATTACTTGGCTAGTTGCAGTGGATGGTTGCTAGGGTGACTGCCAGGTCATTGCTAGGGTGTTCAGGATAGTTGCTAGGGTATTTTGCTGGTTGCTAGGGTGTTGCTAAACTGTTCTGACTGGTTGCTAGGGTGTTACTATGCAGTATTATTAAGCTTAGATTTCTTTGTAGGGAACTGATTTCACCTTACAAAAAATTGTTATTTTAAATAAGTTCCACTTTTTTTTGCACAATTAACAGAACAAGTTTTGATAAATATTCTTGGGCTAGAACTGTTTTTTTTTTAATTGAGTTACATAAACTTTTCATCTATATGCCTCAGATATTAATACTTCATTCTCACAATTCCCTGATTTTTTTTTTTTACAGTATTTTTTTAATCAAGTGTGTAATTTCTGCTGAACCATGCACATTCAGTTGCAAAAATCATGATAATTTAGTATTTTATCATTAAAAATGGTAGCTAGGGTGTTTCTAGGTGGTATTACTGAGCTTACTCTTCTTTGTAAGGAAACGATTTTACTAAACGAAAAGAAAATAGTTGTTATTTTAAATAAACCACTTTAACTATATTATAACTTTATTGTATATCTAAATTGATATTATAGTTACCATATTTAAATATTTATGGCTATAACTTTTTTTTCTCAAGATATATTAAACCTTTTATCTAATTCCCTGATTTTTTTAGTGCATAAGAAATGTGCAATTTATGTAGAACCACATGGAACTACAAAAATGTTCAGTATTCAGTATTTTAGCGTTAAAATGGTTGCTAGGGTGTTGCTAAGCTGTTCTAGCTGGTTGCTATGGTATTTCTAAGCAGTATTAGTAAAACTAACCTTCTTTATAAGAAACCATTTTCACTTGACAAAAAGAAAATAGTCATTATTTTATTTTAATGATCATTTTTGACAAATATTCTCAGGGTAGAACTTTTTTCACTAAGTTATATAAACTTTTTATCTATATATTAATACTTCATTCTCATACTTCCCTGATTTTTTACAGTGTTTTTTAAAGTGAAGTGTGTAATTTCTTCTGCACCAAATGGAATTGCAAAAATAATGATTTAGTATTTTGAACTGATTCAGTAATGAACAGACATTTCCCATAACCAGAAGTTCCCACATGAATGCCAACCAGTCCAGGCCCAGAGAGGCCACAGTGTCGGTCACGGTCGATGCTTTTAAACGGGTTTGGTCAAATGCGATCGCCGTACATATGAGTGATAAGGCTCATATGAAGCACTGTGGCCCCTGTGGTTTGGACTGTGATAACCTGCTCTCGCTGTTGGCTAGTTACTCTTGGCCATGCTTTTGGTCTTCAGCTCAGCCAGTTTGCTGGTGACAAAGTTCCACTTGAAGGCCGATGTGTCTTCACTCCCTCCTCCCAGTGTGGTGTACTTGGAGAAGCTGTTTCCCGTGCTGCTGTCGCCCGCCTCGGCCTTCTGCCCGACCTGGTTGTCACAGTCTTCTGCTCTCGCCCCGCTCTCGTTGCCCACCTCCTCACTGCCGTCGCCTCCTGCCTCCGTTGCCTCCGCTTGCCTCATTGCAGCTTCTTGATGCCACTTAGTCGCAAAGCTGTCCCAGAATCCAGTGCTGCGCTTGTTGGGTTGTGGAGGCTCTTCGGGCTTCACTGCCAGTGGACTGGAAAGATGATAAAGGCAACTTGCAATTAAATGTATTCTGATTAAATAAATATTTTTGCGAGAAACATATTCAGTACTGTTCAAAAATTTGGGGTTAGTAATATTTTTTTTTAAAGAAATACATACTTTTTTTCAGCAAGGATGCATTAAATTGATCAAAAGTGACTAAAAAATGTATAATACTAAAGGTTTTTTATTTCAAATAAATGCTGTTCTTTTGAACTTTTTATTCATCAAAGAATCCTGAAAAATCTAATGTATCACAGTTTCCACAAAATTATGATGCAGCACAACTGTTTTCAACATTGATAATAATCAGAAATGTTTCTTGAGCAGCAAATCAGCAAATCAGCATAATATATTCACATAGAAAATTATAATAATATTTCACAATATTACTGTATTTTTAAAAACATTAAAGAATCTTACAGACCCAAACGTTTGAACAATAATTTAAATCTCAAATATGTAAGTATATTATAGTAATGCCTCACTTTCTGCTCTTAACAGTGTGAAATGGTACTTATATTTTTCTTGTCTGCTGCAAGGAGTTGTAATATAGCACAATCAGTGACTAAAACATTTGCTCAACATGCTTTCCCGGTAGAAAAATGAACTAAATGCATCGTAACACTCACTGATCTGCTGCCGGCTGATTGTCTGCCTCCAGAAGTTGGTGTTCATCATCCTTGGTGAATAGAGTCGAAACACTTTTCCAACCTTTAGCTCCGGCTCCCTGCATCTGAGAAATAAACGCAATGACTCAGACCAACAAACATCAGCTAAATATAGCTGACATGAAATTTCAAGCCGTTTCAACAGTGTTCTGTAGTGTGACACTAGAATTCATCGGGGAAACAAAAAAATGTATAACAATTTTTTATGTTAAACATTTGTGGATATATTAACTACCCCTGTACAGTGTCTGAAGCACACGTTTGCAGTTTGCAGTAGTTTTTTCCCTTTCCAAAGCTAAAAGAAACTACATTTTATTTAATAAAATCATTATTAATCATATTTATTTTCCAGGCTTACTCTCTTGGCCAGCTGTGTCATTGCACTGGGTCCTTCATCAGACTGGATAGGTATCATATCTTCAGCAGCATCACTGACCTTCACAGACAAACATTCATCAAACACTGAAAAATGTTAACATCTAAATTATAAATCTAAACATCTAGATTTTATTCAAGTCAAAAATATTATTTAACACCACTAAATCCACCTAAATACATTGATTTGTACCAACAAAAAAAAAATCATTTTTATGTTAAATCAGATAAAAAATAGCTCTTTAAGGAAACAAATGGAAGTTTTAAACTTTTTTTACAGAGAAGACTAGTTTATACTGTGATGAAAATTAATATTTTGTCTCCCTCATGTGGTTTTTAGCGAAACTACACCAAGGCTATTTCAACGTGAATGAGAATTGTTTCAACAGTTTTAAAGAAACAAGTCAAAATGATATAAACAAATATCAGAGTACAGCCATATTTAATTTCTGACAGTAATGAAAACGCGGGTGTGAGGGACTGAAGTGCAGTGCGTTCAATAGATTGTACTGTTGTTTAATAACAGAATGATTGTTCAGCAAAAATAACTTTCAGTAGACAAAATCTCCACAAAGCAATTTTGGAAAGTTGTGAAAATTACATGATTTTGGACTTTTACAGCGAATGCCATTGTGAAGACTGTAAGGGGGCGTTTACACTACACTGTTTTTAACTAAAAACGGAAAAGCTTTAAAGCATTTTGGCCATTCATTTACAGGACAGCAGTGTTTTGGGGGCATGAAAAGGCCAACTTTTGAAAACAGTTCTCAGAGTGGAAGTTTGTGAAAACTATATCATTTACAAACCGCTGACCTCATGTACATAGTGTTTATTACGTGTGATGTGAAACGGGTTGGTTTTGACGATCATCCCCCACAGCCTCGTCTTCATCCACATTACATTCAATATGGCGTCTAACCTGACGGTCTACTGCCTCTTTAAAACCATCAAACTAGATCAGCTTGACCAGTGGAAACCTGCCTGGTGGCCAGCTAAGACCAGCAAACCACTTTCGGCTGGTTCAAATGAATAAATATGAAATGTAAATACAATAAACTCAATCTCAGTTTAAATGGTAAAAAATACTGTAATGAATTTAGAGTGACTCCAGTCACGCATGCAGTGTTTATCTTGACTAAGCTGCAGTAATCTGCTGGCATTGCTGTTTTGTAGCAGGCTGTGGAAACTATGCAAGTTCACTGGTAAGCGAGAGGTCATACAAACAGCCGAGAACTGTGGGGAATCCGCCAACAAGCCCTACACACCCCATCCGTCTCGAATCAGTCGCTGGAATGCCATCCTATTCCTATCACCCCTGTAGATCCAGTTACAGGCCTCTGAAAGTGGGTCAAGGTTTCCCTTGATCAAATACTTGACAGAATATTTCAAATATTTGAACGCATCCTGAACCTCAGAAATGCATTTATTAGGTTTTTAAAAACACATGCTCTAGCCAATCAGCATACTTCAACAGGTACAGAAGAAAGTGTCCTTTAGTCCCCCCCGACCCAACTGATACGTCACTCAATGCAATTAAAATGTATGATTCAAACATTTTGTGACATTATTTCTGGGGTAAAGTTAGGAGAAACTCTTAAATACTGATAGCATGCATGCATATTCATGTGATCACATGCTCAGAGGTCCTATACTAGAAATAGATTGATATACTGGCCAGGCTGACTAAATTGTATTATTCATATTAAATAAAATTTTATTATGTTTGTACTGCCGTTTATGCACCACTGGAAACCCTACCTTTCTAGATATCGGGATCGTCATTTGTCATTGAAAAACTCATATTGGTCTGTGTAAGTATTTGCCATTGCAAATAATTTTAACTTTATAAAAACTTTTTACTTAACAGATTTATGCCGATAAATAAAACCAAATAGATGCAAATAGTTCATAAACTATGCCATGATTCTTTTATGTATGACATCAATGCATCACATTCCGTTTGTTAGTTTATGTTAAAACTGTGTAATCCAAATGGATGGAAATGTTATATGCAATTCAAATACATAAACCTTAAATTTAGGCCTTAATATTTTTTTTTGAGTACTTGTTCACCCATATCTGGCCATACTGTGTTGTTCTCAAGCTTTAGTGGATTTACCTCTTCCACCGTGTCTTCATCCATGTCCGGGTTGAGGGTCTTCATGACCTTACTCTTATAGACTTTCCACATGGGATTCATGACGGACACCTTCAAAAGATCCTCAGACGTGTGCAAAAATTCATAAAACAGTTCAAGGTATCTCTACGCCACCATCAACAAACTCCCAGCCTTAGTTTAGATCTCAGTCTTTAACAATAGCCCTGTTCCATCAGTAAGAGACAGTCAGTTTTCAGTGCAAAATGAAAACCAGCTTCTCCTCATTGTCTTTATGCCAACACTCTGTATGAAAAGAAAAACTCGGGCAGCTGGTCGAGTCCTTGAATTCAGTGTGAAGTAGATGAAAGAGGCAGTTTCAGCAGTGAAACACACACACTGTGACACGGCTCAGAAGTCCAGCATCGGTTACCTGGAAACAGGTGTGGGTTTCCTACTGAATATTTCAAGCAGCTCTGCTAATAGTTGAGCTTCGTTGTTGGCTGTTTTAAGAAGAGCAGGCCGTGTAACATTAACCCCACGGACTCAATATATATAGATGCCATGTTTCAATGGCCAATAAGATCAGATCTTTAAAGTGACAATGTGCTATTTATGATATCATTATTCATAGTGTTCAATAATTGTTCTCTGAAAGTACCAAACCAGCTGTGCGGTTTTGAACACGAATTTCAAACCTTTACAGGTTACATGCCCAGGTCTTATTTTACCCTAAAATTAAAAGAAGCTAATATAAAAGAATATAGCTTAAACACAAGCATGACTACATTTAAGATTTGTTTACATTGTGACATTATTTTTATGACAATAAAGCATGTACTCCCCAAATTCTCAGCAGTTCTTAGCTGCTTTTATTTATTTACTCAGATTCTGAAAAACTGACAATTTTGTTAATCCATACACAGCAGCAACAACAACAAAAGATAAGGTGAGATTTTTTTGTGTCCCTTTTAGAACTTGATAAGACTATTTACTTTGCTGTGTTAAATACATGATGATGGTTAGTTGCATTATTTTATTTTTTTATATATTTTTTTCCTTGCTTTCTGTGACCCATCAGAATAAACCTGGCGATTGTGGCATTATTTTAATGACATATTTTGCCCCAAATTCCCATTACTGTAATGCAGGCACACATTTTGCTTATGCATTCAACTAACTGATATAAATAATTTAAGTTGAAGTACTTAATTATAATATGTATAAAAGTACAGAATTACACAAACTAAAACTGAAATAAAGCTAAATAGAATATATTAAAATATTTGTAACTAATGAAAATAACAAAAGCATGCATAAAACAAAATTACAAACAAAAATTTTAATGAAAACTGAAAATATAAAAATAAAAGATAATTCTAAATATTAATAAATACTAAAATAGTATACAAATAATACTAAAACAACACTGAATCCTTTTTAGATTTTTTATTACTATAATAAATTGTTTTATTTTAATCATCATAAATTAAAGGCAGTATAACAAATTATATTATGATATATAAATATTAAGCAATTTAAATATTATAAATATATCATAAATATTAGGGGGATTTTTTCACTTTACAGTAAAAATAATTTATGGTAAATTAGGTCTTTGTAACATTATTTTAATGCAAAAAAAAAATAATCTTAATGGTCCTAAAAACTATATATTGTCTTAACATTTCTAGGATGAAATTTGGCCTGGTCTTGTTTTAATGACATTCATCCCTTTTAATGTGAAATTATAAAAAAAAAACATAATTGGCTACAGATCAGAAGACAAACATTTGAGAAAGTCTAAAATTATAACAGCAAAAACAACGATCGAAACGAGCAGTGTTTAAAGTTGACTCTCCACCTCTGCACGTTTTCACTAACCTGTGCTTTGTGCTTTCATAATTACTATAGAGACCTGTGAATGGCAGTCACAGAATCCAGCTAATCGAATGATAATGTTTGTTGTGTGATTTCACCTCACACATTAGTTTCCTGTAGCTTGTTTCTTCTTGTTAACCTGATCTGAAGTTGCCAGCGCAATATATGGAGACAGACATTATTAAAAATGTATGCTTTTGAGGTGTCACTTACCTTTGGAAGGTCTGTGGTGGTTGCTGATAACTTTATACTGGAGGATGATTTAGAGCTTTTCAGTTTACTGTTTATAGACATGTAGCCTTTACATTTATTGACATATAACATCCAAGATAGGCCTATATTTGAACCTGGATCTCAAGTCTCAAACCATTTCACTGCCAGAATGTGACTTCAACATTTTCTTTAAATGCGAGCCAGATTCTTTAAGGTTTAAGACCATTAAGTTGTAACTTTTAAGCAGCATGAGTTAGAAACACTGGCAGATCTCTCTGAGAACATGCGCTCTTGATGTGCTGCATTGAGTTTCACTGGTTTCCATTATTCAGAGGGCTCTGGCACAGCTATTCATGCTTGGGAACCAAATCCTCCTCCTGTCACAACCAGCGCAACAGCGCAGAAATGACTACAGGCTACGGTGAACGTCCAATAATTAAATATTCTGCATGCAAACCTTTATTTGCATGTTATTACAAACCAGTTTGACTACTTTAAGTGACGTGACATGTGGCCAAGTATGGTTACCCATACTAGGAATTAGTGCTCTGCATTTACCCATCCAAAGTGCACACACACAGCAGTGAACACACACAC